GTTAAAACTGGCATTTTAATGCCATAAGGAGATGCATGAATCAGGATTTTCCATCACTTTTTGTTGCTAATATTTCAACGTTTTCCCACAAGACAAAAATTAGAAAAAATTCTGGTTCAAAAATTCAAATTGACACTTGTGAAGTGAATGGCTTCATTTTGATGAAGGTGAACACTCCTTCAGAGATCAACATTTTTTGTTTTAACTTTATTATTCTTACAAAGTAATTGCATTCTCATTTGTTATAATATCCTTTTAAATTATGTCAAAATTATGCAATATAATAAAAATTGAAATAAAATTGAAGCGAAGGTCCCTGATCTTATCAAAGCAAAACTTTTCAATATAGCTGTCACCAAAGCAATATCTCTGCATAAGACAGTTTGATTTAACCAAATCGAAATTTTCCTGGAAAAAAATAAATAAAAAGGCTGCAGTCAGATGACACTCAGGCAGCTCTTACAATGTCTACAGAAGATGCACAAGCAGGACTTTGCTCAGGAGACTTGCAGCCCACCACAGCACTGCAGTGTGACCACACTGGTGCCATTTGTCCCCACCTCACCAAGCAGCCTCAGCAGAATCCAGCCCCAAGGTCTGCCAGAGTTTTAGTGCAGGTTGGACATGGAGCACAAACTATTTCAGGTTGTAACTACAGGTAACTGCTCTTCAGTTACACAGCAAACAGAAAACATCAGCACAAGTGTATAACACACTAGAAATTACAGACTTTGATTCTACTGTGGCATTGGGACCAAAAGAAAAGGGCAAGGGTTTTGAATGCATGGATGATGCCAGACTGAGTACACTTGGGACAAAAATCACAGCACACTAAAGCAGATTTTCAAAAGTGCTTCAGAGATCAATTCTAAGAACTTGCACAATCATAATATTTAAAAAGTTCACAGATTTTAAAACACCAGAAAAATTAGAGGAAAAACAGGAAGAGCTGAGCTCCCCTAAATGTCTGCAGAGCCTAAAACCATTGTAAAGTATTACCCTTCCCAATTTTGTTCTCTTTAGATTTCTGTTCTGTTTTCGTGCTGGGTCCTAATCTTTCAGATTATGACTTTGTATCTGATTTCACTGTTCATTACATCTTACAGCTCCTTTCCTCTCTGCTGCTTCACCCTATTTTCACACTCCCTGTCCAACTGCTCCTACAGAAACACCTCAAACTTTGCCATTTCCTCTTAGTCAAAGCTCCATTACAGTTGGGACCTTCACACACTGCTGGATAGAAATGTTCTTCTGCTACTCAGCACTGAGACAAGTGTTACTGAAAAAGGGCAAAAAGCTCTTTTTGCTGTTTCATATGGTGGATCTTGACATTGGCAGTCTATCTTCTTTCATAAGCAGAACTCCCACAGACTTGAAAAGAAGACCTTTACATCTGGGCAGAGAAGAACATTGGAATCAAGATCCACCCATGCAGATCTGAAGGTAATTTTCATTAGCTAGGAAGTCAAACACAGAGACATAAGAAGTTTTGACACAGAGTCATCTTAACTTGGTTGGGAGTTTCTGATGTGAAAAAAGCAAGAAGTTCTATAGCCTAGAAAACTGTAAAGTGCTGGAAAACCTAGTTACCAGGAGGGCAATTTCATTCTTTATGTAGCGTTTCACATTTGAATGCTAAGTAAGCACTGGAAGGGAAAAAGAAAAAAAAAAAAAAAAAAAAAAAGAAGAACTACACATTCAACAAAGGAACTCAGCTGCAACTATCAGGCACTTCCCAAATACATGAAATGTAAGCTGTGCACAGTGCCCTGACAGCCTGGGTGCCAACCATGACATTATGGTCCTTTTGCCACTGGTGATATTGCTGCCTATCAGGAAAAACACACATTAGCACCAGGAATTAAGAAACATCCCTGATATTGAACCATCACATCCATATCCCATCCCTCATGCTGTGGAACACTCGTTCCAGCAGGGGACTCCACCTGACCAAGACAACACAGCAGCAAGTCACTAATACATAATTAACATGCAATGGTGATTAATTAGGTAACATCTGACCAATAGCCAGGACTCTCAGCTGCCTCTGCCTGCCTCAGCACACAAACACATTTGCACCTCTCCCATTAATCCAAAATGTACCCCATTTCCCCCAGCAAGCACAGGCCAAAGGGGGGATTCCAATCTGTTGCACAGCACAGTGTGTAGCTGCAGCATTTCCGTATACTCCAGTGTGCACAGCATGCCTGAAATTAGACCCAAATCTTTGCTTTGCAAACAGCACGCCATAAACATTCCTGGAGTGCTACAAAGAGCACACAAACACAGCCGCCTCCATTTTTAAAGATTCCCATTGCTTTCTGCTTTGTTTTACTTTCCTTAAAAAAAACTTTGATTTGAGGGTGCTGTGCATCTATACACTTGAAAAAACACCATGAGTTACGATTGAGTGATGTACAGCTGTTCAGGGACCAAAATCTCAATTCCATTGCTTAATCACTGCTGTACATTAGCTTATTAACAGAGGTCTGTTTATTGACTCTGCCCYGTGCCAAGTGCTTACGGCGGCGACTCTGCAGTCCCAGTGGAGGCTCTCCATACATGTACCACAGGTACCAATTCCTGCTGAGGCAGCATCCATGCTGTTCTTCCAGCTGTTCTGGTGCCATCCTGAGAAACGGGGTCAACACTGGCATCTCATTTATTTCCTGATGCTTGGCTTGCAACCTCTTCCCTCTAGAGACAGCACTGCTCACAAGAGCACTTTACTTTTATTGCTCCTGTTAAGCTCTTTTGTTCTTCAGTGGAGGCTGCTCATCCCAGCAAGACCCACAGCTCAGGCTCTCCAGCAGAGGCAGTGGTTTGGTTTCTTTACAAAAATGAGCCTTCTCCCTCCCTTTGCCACTGCTGGATTTGCACTTGGCTCACCCAATTCCATAACAAAACTAACTCACGTGGCACATGGAGGAGCAGAGTTGTTGTTTTTTTTTTTTTTCACTGCTGCACCTTTCCAATCCCCAGAAATGCTCTGCCCTGCCTCAGCAGCAGGCAAAAGGGCCCAGCTCTCCAGGTGGACTGCAGAATCTGCTCAGGGACTTCTGCAATTACTCAAGAACGTCCTTGCCCTGAGCTTGCAGATACATCTTGATTCACTGGCTGTCAGAGACAATTCTGTTTCATGTCTCCCCAAAAGATTACTGGATTTTGATTAAGAAAGGTCAAGGGCAGCTTTTCCCTTCCAATATAAAGAGAATGACTTGAGGAAAAAAATACTCATCACCTAGCACCAGGACTTTTATCTCCACTTGAAAAATTAAATTGCCTGAAGTGATGGAAGGCTTAAGGCAGGGTATGCACAGAAATGTGTTCATGCAAATAAAATCCTAAATAATTACTCTACATGCTATAATTTTACATCTCCCAAAAAAACTGTGGGGTTTTTTTTGTTTTTTTGGGGTTTTTTTTGCAGATATCTTAGCAGGAGAACAAAACACAAAGCTCACGTAGCCCAATCTCAGATAATACCCATTTGCCAGAACAATTTTAAATGCACATTGTATTACTGACCCGGCATACCAGAGATTTAGATTAATCCTTAACGCTTCAATACATTCCCCAAAATAACTTTCCCAATATTTGATTTTCCTTTGAAGGAAAGTGTGTCAGAGATATAATTAGCTCTAGCTGCAGACTCCAAATCTCTGCCTGGCACTGCTCTCAGTAAAACACACCTTCAGCCAGTGTGAAATTGGTACAGCTACATTGAATTTGCTACATACAACTGAAGTACTTCACAGCAGCTGAGGATCTAAGTATATATGCATAAATGAGGGGAAAATACGTTTTTACCTGGAATAATAATGCTGCAAAACACATAATCTCAGGCTGAGTAAAACAAATTGTTATTCATAAGAAATATATTCTTCTAATKGAGTTTAAGGCACTAAATAACCACTGTCTTCTAACAGAGAATCAGATGCATGGTGGGTATCCCTACATTAATTAGGACTAAGACTGCCACATGGATTTTAATGAAATAAAGTTATGTCTGTGGCTTCTCTAGGATATTAAAGTCAATTTATCTGGGGAAGACAAGTAATGGCTKGCTTTTTGTAGGAATTGGAGTAGTTCATTAAGGAAGGTACCAGAAGTTAACACCATCTGAACAAGCTCTAATTTTTTAAGGTACAAATTCCAAGACTCTCGATTACCAGGACAGAACTGCAGAAATCCAGGAGGCTGRTAGAAAACAACACAAATTACTGCCCTTGCTAAAGCACTGTGTACCTTGTGGCTGTGGGCACAAAGTAAAGACAGCACTTAAATGAAATACTCAGCAAAACCATTTTCCTCAGATACAACCTCCCAAACATTTTTACTTAATACATCCGGCCATCTGTATGTTATCTACAGTATAGTTTGGGACAACTAATATTCCACATCCTGTGTTAAAAATTTAAAACTTAAATGAGAGAATTCTAGCTCTTGTAGTCCAAAACAGAGATTGCCAAGCCCATGAGCATCTAAGGCAAACATCCAGGTCTCTGTCACTGGATGTGACAACCCTCAAGTGCACTGAGGAGTTCAGCAACCAGCCAGCCCCAAAAGCTTGAGGTTTCYATCTCCTCTCACCTGTGGAGACTCATTAGACTAATCCTCAGGAAAACCCACAGAAAAGCATATTGGTGTTACCTTAACACCCCAGTCCTACTTAGTATTACATTAATGAAAGTACTCATTTCACATGCATTAATTAAAAATTCCGATTCTCCTACTGTATGATAAGAAGCATGAATTCCAAATTAAAACTTTTATTTAAAATAATTAAATTTTGGATGAAGCACATGAAACTTTTCTTTGAGCTCTAGTCAGAGGCTAGGCTAAGGAGAGCAAACATCTCAGCCCTTCACCACTACCAAATGCCTCCTTGATCACTCCAAGTCTCCTAGGTAAAGGGACACAGAACTGTGTAGTCACTTACATTCTCTGAACAGCCACTCAAACACSTAAGTTTCTGCTTTCCACCTTTCACACCAATAGTTTCAGCACAGATAACGAAATTTAATTCTTCAGTTATTACAGAAGACTGCAGAGATGTTTCACAGTATGGGCCTGCTTGCTCTGTGTGGCTTTTTCAGAAGTGTTACCAGCCTGTTTGAAAACACACTTGCAGAAACTCCCTCTGACTACTTCAGAGCATTAAGGGCTGTAAGAAGACAAAGGCAATAGCTAGTTTTTATACAAGCACGATTTTAATTTAATCCAAGTGTATTCTGTACAACAGAGGTTTTATACAAAAGAAGGAAGCAGCAAGAACAGGCACRAAGAAGTTTCTGAACCCTAGTGCTTTAGAAAGCCAAGAATTTTTTTGAAAAACCAACCRTGTGAGATATTGTTATAGATGTTATAATCTTGGTTTGGGTCAGTCTCCATCATGTACAACTCTCCTGCATGGATATCATCGAAGTTAGCACTGAAGTTGTTAGGATCAAACTGAACCCACAGAGTGTACCTGCAGTCAATGGTACGCATGGAATAGCCCATGATCCTGATGTCTTTCAGCTTTGGTTTGTCAGAGTTCCACTGGGGAGTGTCTGCAGGCCGGGGATATTGGCTGAAAGCAACAGGTTCTTCATGAAAAGACCTGTCAGTGTCATCACACCTTCYCTTGCCTTCCTCCACCTCCTCCTCTTCAGAGACATTAAAATAGGGGACAATGCTTGTCCCCTCAGTGCACAGCACAACACCAAACGAGGCCTCTGGGCACACAGGAGGAACCTGCAGRCCAGCAAGTTCTGCAAGGGTTGGAAACAGAGACACCAGCTCCACCACTTTTTTGCTTTGTCCTAGAAGAAATAATATCAAAATACAAGTTATGGAACAAGATGGTTTGACAACAACTTTTTCTAATAATTCAGTTGGTTTTGTTTTTATTTATTATATTTTTATTGGCAGTCTCTGTACTGGATTTTTGGAGGTACCAACAATCGAGGCAATTAAGGTGTGGCAGTTAGCTCTGAAGATGTCAGTCTATGCACTTATGATGAACTTTTAACAAGAGAACTTTTGCACTTCTATTTCTCCAATGTGTAGTTYTCAAGATAATCTTATCCATTACTTGCAGAGAAAAAGAACTCTTCAGAAAGATAAAGTAAAATATTTAAGGTGCCTGGAGACACATCACCACCTCCATGTACCCACTTYAAACAAAAAATAAACACTGGAATTTTACCTTGAGGTGCTGAGATTCCATTATGGCTAAAAGGGTCAAGGTAGGGGAAGACCCTTGTTCCTTGACTGAYGGGGGAAGTTGTCATTCCTGGGACATAAAACATCAGCGGCACACGGGTAGCAACATCAAAATTGCTGTATTTGGCCCATTCACCATGTTCTCCCAGSGACCACCCTAGGTGACAAAGAACACRRTTCAGAGCAGATACTGGGTTGTAATTAAGTAGTCATTTCTTTTTCCTTGTAAATTGACTCTGACTGCTGAGGCCACTAGTCTATTATAAAGGTTATATTAAAAGGTAAAAAACAATCTGTATTTACAAGACTTTTCTCTAACTTGAAAGCTATTTCAACAGCCACCTAAATCTTGCAACTTGATACTCTTTTATTAAGGAAATAATTACACCTTTCCCTATTTCTCCTACTCTAAATTAAAATTAGGAAATTAGCATTAAAACAGCAGAAAAGAGGGATTGGGGTGTGCCACAGTGCCTGCAAGAGTCTCTAGATCAATTCCATAAAACATTCATTTAAGTTGTGGGCAGCTGCCAGCTCTCCAATACTCCTTTTAACACTGTAGCTGAACATCCTTTGGAGCCAAGGCTGCTCTCCATGCCAGACAGCCATATCAGGATGTTACCCCTGAGGAAGCAATAGAGATAAAACTTTTCAGCTCTCCTCTTCCTCTTGAAAAAGATGCCAGCATGACTTCCTTCCAGGCAGATTTACTGCCAACTTCACTTTGGGGGAAGACAAAGGAGCTCTATGACAGCTATGTTAACACATGATTTTTCTTGATCACTTTGCCAGCCATGGTACTGGCAACACCAACTGTTTACAGTTATCCACAGCAAGGAAAAGAAAAATGCAATTTACAATGGAAAGTGGAAAGTCAGAAATAACATCTAGAGTCACTTTAGTATCAGAAGGAYTAATCTTATTGCTCTACAACACGTAAGAGCTTGTTTATACACACATGCTCACAGAAGTCAACCCAAATTAATTAAACATGTGACTTTAAATTGATTTAGTTAATTCACATCCTAACTGGTTTAAATCAGCTAAGCTATTCCCCAACTAAAAGGATCATGAGAGGGCTGTTTTAATGACTACTGGAGTATTGAACAAAGCATTAAATGCTTGAGATATTTGTCCCACAGTTCAAATTCAGTTTTTTACCACCAGGATCCAGAGTGTGCAAGACCTCAGTTATGAGGGAGAACTGTATCACTATCACTTTGGATGCTCTGCAAGCAGCAATGACAAGTGTAAGAAAACACACTTGAGCAGTTAATGAGAAAGCCTGTTACCCACTGTACCAGATGGCTCTCCACAAATGGTAAAGGGGGAGGAGTAGTGGCTGTCCTTTCAGAGCACTGCTCCCAGCAAGAGTCACTCCTTGGCTAGGGGGTGGGAATACAGCAAGTTCAGCCCCGTGTCGTGGCAGGCAGCCTCATCCCTCACCAGCAAACCCTCAACCCGATTAAAGTGCCTGTAGGAGGATAGAATTGTGCAGCCACAGAAGCCAGTGCCAGTCCCTACAATCTGTCTCAGACAAGCCAGAGACACAAGGTATGGTAGCTCTGCTGGACATGACAGAAACACACATTGGATTAATATGCCAGCACTGAGCTGCACAATGAAGTTATTAACAGTGAGCTAGAGAAAGATTTAAATGCTTACCATGATCAGCAGTAAAAACTACTATTGTGTTATTTGAGAGTCCTACATTGTCCAAAGCATTCAAAAGCAGGCCAACTTGCACATCCAGGTAAGAAACTGCTGCATAGTAACTCTGACGAATCTGCCGCTGCAAGTTAAGAAAGAGAGAAAAAAAAAGCTTTTCACATACAGCGGGGTGGCTGTGTAAAAGAACTTAATTACTTGTAAAACTTTAATTTTGTTTGGAGCCCAATTAATGTCCCACAAAAGGTAAACTGGGAGGGGTCACCTAGGAAATTCCATCCCCTGGCAGTGCTTTCAAGYAAAACATTGCAAACCAATCCATTCTGCTTGTCTTGGTCTAGCCAGTGCACTTAATTTTGGCATAAGCAATGGAGAGTCAAGCGAAATCTTGCAAAAGAAGATACACTGGGTATTGGCTTGAAACAGATAAGCAGACTCAGATTACGAATATAAACATGGCATTGGTAGCTGCTATGCACATACCCTCACATGCAACTGAACTGCAGGGACAGTGAAGGTTTGCCTACAGAACTAAAGGTGACTGTATGGACAGCAGGGGATTTATAATATTTGCAAATAGTCAGTTGCTGAATAGCTGGGAACATCCAAGAGCAGCCAACTCTTTCCTTGCATTTGAACAAGTGAAGGCAGTTTGACTTCACTGCACAGCTTACCTGGAAGTCATCTGGAAGTGGTCCATAAGGGAAACTAACRTTTAATGCTTCCACATCATCCCTCTGTCTGATATCCGTCCAGGGGTTGTATGCTACAGGAGGCAGATTCTTMGGTACCCAGGGATCTGGGGCTAATGTGATATTTTCCAGGGGGTACAACTTGAGAAATTCCTTTACAACAAAAAAAAACACATAAGAAGACTGTACTTGCCTCTAAGATACACTGTGAATTTTGTATTTAAATAGCAACCATTTTTCCTTGCATGACCCTTTAATGTTACAGTTTACAAGGCTTCATTCCCTTTCCCCCAGAGTGCAAAACACAGCAATACAAGTCATCCCCAACCAATTCCTGAAAAATACGGAGTTAGTAAGTACCTAAACCCAGCCTCTTGTATCTCAAAACAATGCTGTAATAAAAAGTCAAACACAACTCTCACTGAAATCAGTAGTTTTGCCACCAACTCGAACAAGGAACAGAATGCAAAATCTTTTAAGGCCTCATTATGTCATACTCCATCAAGTAGAACCCCATCTCCACATAGTAGCAGTCACCACTATGGTAGTATAAGCCTGGGTTTTGACTGAGGAGTCACAATTCATTCTCATTAAACATTCTAAAATGCATCACAGGTGACTCCCGAAGTTACACCAAATTAAGGCTTGTTTCCAGATTGCTTTCAAGAAACAGCAATAAAGCATTTTGGGAACAGCTTTCAAAAGCAGAAGCATTTGTCTAAGTTCCTTTTCCTGCYGGCTCCAGTCTCCTCACCTGTGGGTACCTCAGTGGGATATGTGGCTTGTGGTAACCAACAGCCAGGAAGAACTTCTGCCTGTTGATTTTCATCACATTCAGTAAGCGGATGGCCTCCTCAGTGCTCTGAATATCAGGCAGAGTCCCTCCAGGCATTTCTGTCACATYCACTGGGCACACCAAGTTTGCATAAAGTTTTCCATCTTTTCCCCTGCAAGTCTTAAAAAAAAAATTAGTTCAGTAACTTCTGTTAAATGCAAAGACAAAATCCTCTGTTCTGTAACTTTAATACAAATTTGTTTCTACCAACAAAAAGATGCAACTTCCATGCCTATGAAAATGCAGAAATCCTCTCTAAAGCTGGGTAGAAGATTAAATGTAGTCATGTCAGGGGAAAGCCCACAGCTTCTATGATGAATAGAATCTCTGATCTATTGGCAATGCAGCATTTCTGGTTATGCTATACCTACATTTTAATTCCTTCTGATCCTAAGAGTTTATAGAAAGCTGCCTGGAAGCTACTGACTTAGTTTCTGAGCAAATGCCAGCAGTGGCTGATGTGCAATCAGTGAAGAGAGATAAATTAGACTAAACAGTTGCCAGGGAAAGGTGGCCTCAGCAGGGTGTTTGGGAAGGTTGCTAAATGAACATCCTTTCCTTTATGTCATGGATGAAAACGTTGCTGTTGTTAAAACCAGTCTTTTCCAGCAGTAAACAAAAGAGCAAAACACTGMCAGGGCTGTCTGTACCCTCATGCCTGCAGCTCCTGCTGGGCAGTGTACAGACACCAACACAGGATGTTAATGCAATGTTRGCACAAAGATAAATCAGATTCTTTTGTATCACACTTCTAGAAAACTGGATCAGATTATAAAGTTTTTTTAAGTTTTTTTTTAAACATTATTTCAATTATGACCCCTGCTCACTCAGTCCTGAGCTCTATCACACTAAGTTCACCAAGTTCTTGACAGCGTTTTATCACCTACTAAAACAAAGCCAGCTCAGTGTGCAAGTTGACAATAGCACTTTTCAGATACAGGAATTCATGACCTAGACACTAATTAAGATCATTCTTGCTTATATGTCCAAATACCAATTTAGAAATACTTAAAACATCTGSAGGATGGGCACACTGATTAACAAAACACACTTCTGATAGTCGAGGCCTTCTTTCAGAAAGCAAAGAAACAAAGTACGGAAGTGGTTAGTTGTAGCCCGGACAAACAGCCTCAAAACCCACACAGCACAGCCTGTACTTGGTACAAAAAAACTTGATTATATCCTGAAAACCCTTTTGTGTTAGAGTGCCCCAAATCACTCTCACCTTATCATTTTCATACTTTTCAGCTGAAGGATGAAAGGGTGGAATGGACCAACTGTAGGGATAGTCGTCACTGTAATTGGATGAAACTCCTGAAATGGATATAGAAATGCTCTAATTTCACTTAACCAGGAAGAGCTCAAACACAAGTTTAACTTGTTTCAACCGTCTTTTTTCAAACATGCTAAATAAAACATTTCAAAAGAATCTTCGACAACTGAGAAAAAGATAACCAATAATTAAATAAACATCAAAAAGTTTAAGACAGGCATTTTTCCCTGAAATACACCTTTAACTAGTGAGAGAGACTCAAGTTTGTTGAAGAGCCTTACTTCAGGGAACAGCAACAAAAAMAAATCAAAAAATTCCAAGGACTAGTAACAGTTTTCATGCATATCCTTGACTGGCTTTGCTACCAACTGCAAGTTTATATATCCACCAAGTTCAGTTCTAGGATAAGGAACCACCAAAAATAGGGTCAGTATCACAGTATTTTTCAATTCAGTAGTTTTACTGCTTTTACATAGTGAACTAATTTCCTAGTGAACTTGCCATCATGCATTCTTGCATGACCTGACCCAGACTCACAGCCTATTTGGAAACATGAAGTGTGTACGGGCAAAACTAAGTCAATTGAGTAATTTCATTTTCAGCAGATGCATTTTTAGAATGTCAGACATTTTTTCCCACAATTCCTAGACAAGCTGTGAAAATAWCCACTAGGTAAGAGTAATCTAACACATTCATCTCTAATGCCTTAAGATCTAAAAGACAACCACTGTAAAATCTGGCTCACGATTATGATTTAGGTTCTCAGTATAGACCAGAATCACACATCAATATTTATGTAAGTTTGTGAGACCATACACACCATGCATTTCTATTTTAAGCAAATGACAATTCAAACCATACCAGGATGAAAAACTTTCCCCACAGATAGGGTCRTGTATCCATTGTCCTTGAAATACTGGGGCATGGTGGAATAGTTTCCTGCGTGTACTCTCCAGTAGGAGTAGAAATCATAGAGCCGGGTGGTGTCAGGCCTGCGGCCAGTGAGAAACGACACTCTGCTGGGAGCACACACAGCTTGCTGAGGAGAGAGACAGCCAAGGAGAGAGGCAATTTGGAACAAAAACCAAAATACACGTGCAAACTGTCTTGGGCCTAGCAGGGCTATAACCATCTGAAAGCTCAGGAATCACAGGGAAAGAGTTTCATATCACTTCAACTTGGAATGAACAGTATCCTTAATAAGCATATCAATTCCCAATTGCAAGCTTTTAGCAAAACAGACATTTACCTATCTTCCTTCTTTCCTCAAATAGCCAATTCCTTAGCACTAAAAACTTCACTTATGGAGCCAGTAGCACAAAAGGAAAAAAAAATAAAAAAAGCAAGTCAGGGTTCCACAAAGAGAGTGCTTTGGAAATGTGGTAGCTCATATTACACAGAATGAAGCAGCAGTGGCAGGTGGACTGTGCTGATAAAAACCCAAAATTTAGTTGATCTGGACTGCCTTAAGAATAAAGAAAGCATAACACAGAAGGTCTGAGTTACAGTCCAAAGGCCCAACCAATTCTGCTTTAGACTGACAAAACCCAAGAGTTATTGCTTTGAAGTCCTATTTCCTAGTCAGAATAGACTCAAACTTCTAATTCCCCAGCAGAGAGGAACTTGGGAATGGAGACATCCCATGAGAGCATTCACGTGGAGAGCAATTAGTGAGCCCCCTATTTTAGACTGATACTTCCCACACAAACTGCCCCTTTACAGGAATCCGTARAATTGATTCCCTCAAAAGATTAAAAAGTAAAATATAATCTTTTATAAGCGGTAGAAAAAGAGAATTCTAATTTAGTAAAATAGCATTTTTAAGCAGAACTTGGCTGCTAACATTGAAAATGCCGAGTGGCATTCCACTCCTCCAAGKGCTACACAAATACCATAATTTAAATGCCCTGTTTTCATTTTTCTCTCCTTAGTAAAGATAGACTCACACACTACAGTTCAGCCCAAACATTTATTTTCTACTGAAAACACTTACAGTTAATAAATACTTGYTTTTTCCACTGGCCTGCCTAACACCTACTGTGATAAAAACGATAATTATTTTGCATAGAGAAAACATGTTTAAGTCATTTATCTCACCTGAGCATATGCATTGCTGAACACAATACTTCGAGAAGCAAGTTGATCAATGTTGGGAGATTTCACAAGCTTATCTCCGTAACAGCCCAACACAGGACGCAGATCATCCACAACTATAAACAAGACATTCATGCCATCTATGAAGAAACAGAATTGGAAATAAATTGACTTGAGCTCCACTAAGCAGAGGCTACTTTATGCCGACTTAGTAGGTTTTAACCCTGAAATACACTTAWGAAGAAAATAAAATAAATAAAATGAGCAAGAATATCTTTGTACGGGAATGTAAACAACGGGATTAGTTCTTCAAATACAGAAATTCTTATTTGGCCTAGACAGAAATACAGTGGTTTTCATTTCCCTTCCTATTCATTGCTTGCTCCCACGGTATTTTCTGCAGGTGCCTCAGACAGCGTCTCCTTTAGCTGTCTACAGAAAGGTGTCGCAAAATAAAACAGGTCTACCTACTGCCTAATTCTACAGCTTTGGGAGAGGTGTTAAGCCACAGGTAAACAACACTGTTCTCCTGTATAATCCTGCTCCAAACAGACAAAACTATTTTCTTTCAATTAACTACACACGTGTTTTTAAAACGCCCTCTGAAAGMGGCGGACTGCACTGGGGGCTCGAGCGGCGCACGAAGCGCTGTGCGAAGCCGCAGCCTCCCCAGGGACACACCGAGCCCTCCCCAGCCCCGGGCTCCCGCCGGCCGCTCCCCCAGCCCGGGCCCCGCCGCCACAACCAACCCTCGGGGCCGGGCGGATCTCCGGGCCCCACTGCCGCCGGGCCGGCCGCCAAGGCACCGCGGGGCGGCCGCAGAAGAGACAGGGACAGGGACAGCGACAGGGACAGCGACAGGGACAGGGACAGGGACAGGGACAGGGACAGGGACAGGGACAGGCAGA